TCATTCTTCAGTTCTATCCAGCTTCCAATCTGGGCCCCACCCCACCCCCACGCCACCCCCGACTCCCGTGTCTGGCTCAGCCTTGAGGTCTCTAGCAGCCTCTTTGGAGTCTTCTTGTTCTAATCCATCCCTAGCTGGGCACTGGCAGTTAATGTCAGCTTCCTGAGCCCTCTGAGTTCCTATCAATCTCGGGAGCCCCTCCTCCCAAGGAAACACAACCCCATCTTTCTCCCGGGCTCCCTCCTGTTCTCCCCAAGGGCCAATTTTAGTTCAGTACACAAACTCCACTTTGGGGGTCATCTCCCACCAAGGCAGAGGGGCTGGAAGGAGACCCCTCCCAACTCTATCCAAGCGCGGGAGCTGGGTAAGAGGTGGGGAAATGAATATTAATTTATCATGATTAGGCAAATCCGGCAGGGAGAGCCGATTCAGGCGGAGGAGGCTAAAAAGATGAATTTCAGCAATAAAATTAAATAAGGACGGACGGGCAGCCCCTCCTTCCTCCCGCTTTGCTGATCTCTCTCTTTCTTACAATTTATGAGGCCAATTATGAAGATGGGGTTGGAAGTTCCTGGAACTTCACTAAATGCAAACGGCGGTCCCTGCTGTTCCCATCAAATTAATTAACCGCGCGCTATTGATGGCCGCTCAAGGCTGACGCAAGCGGTCCGCCCTGCGGCCTCCTCCATGGACACAAGGACCCAGAGCTCCGAATCCAGCCAGGACTCTACTACCTCCTCTAGTCCCTGGCCAGCACCACCGGGGACCCCTTCCAGCCCATGCATCTGTCTGAGCCCTTGGTTACATGGGGGCCTGTAGCAGGCTAGCTAGGGACACCAGGTACTAGGACATCAAGTGTAAACACGCAGCCCACAGACCCAGGGCCCAGACAGTGTGGCAGGCACACGAACAAGCGACCACAAGGTTGGTCAAACCCCAACATACATCCAGGGAACAGGCACCTATGGGCACTGTCTGAGGCTACAGGCTTGTTCAGTCAGGGCCAGGCCTGAATCTAGCAGGTTCTACAGAGGCTCCACAGCCACTCACGTGGCCGTGGTGACAGTTCTAGCCTTGATTCAGTCCATCTTCTGGTGGCTTCCTCAGAGCCCTCCTAGCAGTCCATCAACCCCTGGGGGCTCTTGTCTTGGACCACAGCCTTCTTCAGGGATGCTCTCCCAAGAAGGCAGCCATCCCTTCCACAGGAGAGCAGGGCTGAGATCCCAGAGCCCTCCGGAGACCAGCTTTTCTTGGGGCCTCAGCTTGAGAGACCCCAGTTCCAGAGCTGGGAAGCAGGGCCGCCCAATGACTCAGGGATTCTGGGAAACTGGTTGGCTGGATCAGACCGATGGGCAGAGTGGACACAGGCCCACACTGGAGTCCACTGTAAGCCTATCTGCATTCTCTCTGCAGACTGGAACCACTGCTGTGGCTTCCTTACCAGCTCCCTCTCTCAGAGAACAGGACCGTGTCCCTCCCCACTGGGAAAGTGAGGATGAGAAGTGAGGCCACCTGTTCAAGTTGTACCCCTTGGTCCTGGCCACAGGAGTCCCATTCCTCCTAAAGGGGCAGGAATCCTACAGCCCAGGAGAGGCAGGGCACAACACAGCCTGCCCACCATGCTGTGCCCACTGCAGAGGCAGGCTGGTGATGCTTGGTCTACGCCTGCACCGCCTCTATTTCAGCAGCCAGAACTCCAGACACAAGTTTGGTTCACGGTAAGGGTGTGGCCATGACACATGTTTTCACCCCAGGCCCCGGGTAAACACAAGGTCTGGCAGGGCTGGGTCATAGGCACCCTAAGAGGACTTGTGTTGTGGGCACAAATTATCACAGGGCAGCTGAAATGCAGAGAGGCCCATGGTCGCCAAAGAGGGCTGAGGCCTAAAGCTTGCAACCAGCTTGGCCCTCCCGTTCCCACAGGGGCAAGTCACAGGTCCCCTGACATGTGGCAGGGCCCGCTCACCCCCCAGAACAGTGAGAGACCAAGACACACACAGAACTGGTGCTCGGCTGTTACAGGGAAAAGTGGCAGACTTGGAGGCTTAAAAGAACATGGAGTTAAACTGGACATGGTGGCACATGTCTTTTAACTCTAGTACTTAGGCGGCAGAGGCAGGCGGATCTCTGAGTTCAAGGCCAGCCTCATCTAGACACAGAGCAAATTCCAGGACATCTAGGGCTACATAGAGAAACCTTGTCTCAAAACAAAACAAACAAAAAAACCAATCCACAAAATCATCACTTTGTGATTCAAAACCCAAGACGGGCTTCCCTAGGATGAGAACCAGGTAGCAGGGCCACATCCCTTCTGGAGGCTCTGGTATGGAATCTAGATGGTTCTTTAAGCTGTGGCGATTGTAGACTCTCCACATGGAAGCCAGAAGCGCTGATCCTGTCTGACCTTTCTCCCACTGGCACCCCGCTTTCTGGCTATAGCCAGGAAAGGCTCCCTACTTCTGAGACCCTTGGGCCACACAGGGCCCGCCCACCAGAACCACTTCATGGCAGATGCTTGGCCTCAATTACATTTGCTTGTTGCTGTCATGGTGGTGCTGGGGATGAACCTGGGCCTGGCATGTGCCAGGCAAGTTCTCTGCCACCGAGCTGCTCCCTGAGGGCACATCTTCAGTCTCCAGCCGAAGGTGTCATAGCCACAGGACATGGACATACTTGCTGGCCACTATGCCCCTGCCTCACACATGGTCTGACCAGGGACAAACCTCAGGGTAGGGGGATTGAGCTGGAGCTCAAAGCAGGTTTGTAAAGTTCCTCTTCCTTGAGGTCGAGAGGTTTGTGGGGTGCTCAGTTACCAGACAGGACCCCAGTTTCCACCAGGGCTCTAAAATTCAGACCTCCCTTTACGGAAGGATGAGGGCAGGGATGCCAGGAGGCGGATCTGGGCTCTCAGTGGCTGCAGAACACTAACAACACACGCCTTGTTGAGCGGGACTCAAGGGCCACCCCTTCTCCCCCTCTAGGCCGCCTATCTCAGAACACTGAGCTCAGCCTCGTGGCCTCATGCCACACTGCAGTCAGGACACCAGTGTCATGGACCCCTGAAAGGTATGGGCATTTTCTCTCCAGCACAGGACTGTCTGCTGCCCTGATCAGATGAGACGAGAGCATGCATGTTTGAAGTACCGTGGATTCTGAGTCTCCCGGGGCAAGGGAGTTAAGGCGGGTGAGGGTGAGGAACAGAGTGAACTCCTGAACTCCTGAGTCGTCAGCTCTATTCCTCCAGTGTTTCTGGAAACTTCCTTTGTAGGTCATGCAGTCCATGCTCCTACCCCTAAGAGTCACTCTATGCAAAAAAGGAAGTCTGAATAAAGACTGGCACCTCATCCGGCAGCGGTGACGCACGCCTTTAATCCCAGCACTCGGGAGGCAGAGGCAGGTGGATCTCTGTGAGTTCAAGGTCAGCCTGGTCTACAGAGTGAGATCCAGGACAGGCACCAAAACTACACAGAGAAACCCTGTCTCGAAAAAACAAACAAACAGACAGACAGACTGGCACCTCGCAGGGACTCCGGGTCCTTGGACGTGGCTACTTCCCAGTTTGGTGTGCAGTGGGCTCCACCCCTTCCCCAGGACTCATGAAGGCCAGGTCCCCCAACTTTGGTGTCTGGGGTCTAGGCTTGAGCTGGAGGTCTGATCTCAAGATGCTAGGGTCCGGAACTGTTTTGTTCTCTTTGAGCTGCCTTGAACTTCCTAGATAGCCCAGGCTAGCCTAGAACTTAGGATTTTCCTGCCTCAGTCTTCTGAGTATCTGGAATTATAATTATAGATATGCACCTCTGTCCAGACAGAGGCCAGGACTGAAACCAAGGAGGCAAAAGGCAACTCTGGGATTCTACAACACACATACATACCATGCACAAACACACACCATGTGTGCGCAACACACATATATACATACCACGTGCATGCACACACACACACACACACACACCATGCACACACCACACATATACCACACACATACATACACACACATCGCACACACATACACCACACACACACATACATCTCATATATACAAACACCATGCACACACCACACATACACAGCACACACACATACACACACACCACACATTGCACACACACACCACATAGCACACATATACACCATGCACACACCACACACACACACCACACATACACATACACCACACACACATACCACATATCACATATACACAAACACCATACACATACACACCACAACATACACACACACCACATATCACACATATACACCATGCACACACCACATACACACACCACACATACACATACACCACACACACATACCACATATCACATATACACAAACACCATACACATACACACCACACACATACACATACACCACATATCACACATACACACCATACACACACACACACACACACACACACCCCTTTCACACTTGACAGACTAAAGTGGGAGCTTCTAGATTTAAGCTTGCCTCATGCTCCACCTCAACATCTCCCAGTGGAAGATTTTGGCTTTTTAAACCTCCTTCCAGACGCCCTCCCTTGCCCGTCCTCCTGTCCTGCAATGCTAGAGAGGGAAAGACGGAGGGAGAGAGTCAGACCCCTGCCGCACCCCTGCCGCACCCCTGCCCACTCACTCCCCCTGCTCTATCAGCAGCTCTCCCAGCACCTTCCCTAAAGCCTCTTCCAAGTAAGCCCGGACCCCCACGCCCATCCACGGTGGACAGACAGATCGCGGTCCGTACTGTTTCTCTAAGCACTGGCACCTCCTGCCCCCCAGGAGTCCCATTAGGGCCACAGGAGCTGCTCAAGGGTGGACGGAGAAGGCCTCTTGTGTCTGACTCTGCTGCTCTCACCATCCACCCCAGACCCCGTTTGGGGTTCCGGATCTGAGTCTCCGGGCCTGACCAGCAGGCAGTTAGTGTGGCTTTCTGACGTCTTTGTTCTGCTGGGATGAGGACCACAGGTGGAGGCCATCGCTCACAGACACTAGGCAGCGGAATGTCAGAAGCGCTTTACTGGGCCCCAGGGCCTTCAGAAGCAGTCCTCACAGTCTGGGCAGGCCACCCCCCGCAGCTCCAGCTGCACAGGAAGTGAGTGGGTGAGGGGATCCGCACGGCTTCCTCCTACCGTGAAGGGTCTAGAAGATGCTGAACCCACAGGGGCTTCCCTCTTCCCCACCCCCGGCCTCTCCCCGATTCCCAGCATCCCGATCTGTCTTGGGGTGGAAGGGGAGCCTACGCCTTGAGCACAGGAAACTGGCTTGAAAGCAGCCACCTGTTCTGCTTGAGCGTTACTAGGAGCAGCGGTGAGGCGGAGGGGTCAGCAGCAGACATCATCCCGTCCAGGGGAGGGCTTGCAGACTCCCCCTGTCAGCCTGGCTCTTTCCCGCAGGCCCAAACCTCCCGGCTTGGCTCACTAAGGGCAGCGGGTGACTGGAGGAGCCTGGCTAAGCTGGGCAAAGCTAGAGCGGTCGTGGATGGCCGGGTGAGGCACGCACAAAGCATGGCTGCCTCGCCCAAGCTTAGGTCACCAGTCCCGCTCAGCCGGCTCTCGGTAGGGCAGGCCTAAGAGCCGGAAGACATCCTTCTCTGTGGGGGTGGGCAGCACTCGCCCAGACCCCACCTTGACACCTTGGCTGTTGCGGACCACAGCTGCGCTGAGGGCGTGCTCGGACAGGCTCATGCCCTTGGTCTTGGCCAGAGCTCGCATGGACCGGTTGAAGTGAGCGGAGCCAGTGAAGTAGAGCAGGGCACAGGCGAACTCACTGTAGGGCACGACGATAATGTCCAGCCGCCGGTGCCGCCGCCCGGGCCCCGGAAGCCGGCACACTCCCAAGTACTTCTGCTGCTGGCCATTGTCCTCCTGGCTCACCAAGTCATCTGTGAGGAACCCTGGCCCAATGCAAGGGATGTGTGTATAAAGCAAGAAGCCGGCCTACCTGCACCCTCCCGAGATGCCTGATCCCAGCCTTCTCTCCTCCCCGCTCACTCATTCCCACGGCGAGGGACCTTGCCCCCCCTCTAAGCCCAATCCCTCATCTGTGGAAGGTGGACAGGTGAGACCTTCCTACCCGTAGGGATGTGGGGCACCTGTTCTACAGTGTCCTCGGCCCCAGAAGAGGCGGGATTCTTGCAAAGCCCCTCCCCCACAGCACGTCTCAAACTGAGAACTTGGAGGTGACACCTTGGACATGGATGCCATGCCCTTCCAGCTTGCTCACCCCAAGACAGAGTGAATACCTTGCTGCCGAAGGCTGTCCAGGAGGCGGCTGAAGATGCCCTGGTGGGACCGGCCATCTGGGTGAGTGATAAGCACATCCACGTCCCCGCAGGTCACCTTCCCCCTTCGGTAAGAGCCACAGGCCACACACAGCAGCCCGGGATTGAAGGCCTGGGCTGACAGCCGGACCTGCGGAAGGGCGGGGAGGGGTGAACGGCTGGTGGCCTCTCCCATGACAGCATAAGGTTTGCACCATGTCCCAGGCCTATCCCCCTGCTGTATGCTAAGCTGAGGGGATGCGCCTGGGCCCCGTAGAGAGAAGCCTGTAGAAGACACGGGCTTTGCCTCTGCAGAAAGGCTCTGTATAAGAACCAGGGACACTTCAGGTTCTGGTTCCAACCCGCACCCAGAGGCTAGGCCTGTGAAAATCCACTGATAACAAAAAGCCACGTGCCTGCAGCTCAAGCTGCCTATGAATTTGGAGCTGATGGCAGTGTGTGGGAGTCAGGGTTTAGGGCCTGAGCGGGGGCTGGCAGAGCCTCCGATCTGGCTGAGAGAAAATGAAGCACAAAATACCACGGCACCTGTGGGAAAGGGAGGGCAGGAGCTGCCCACACCCTTCCAGGAGGGGTGAGACTGGCCTGTGGCTAGAAGGATCTGAAAGGCCTGACTGAGGAGGAATAAGCCCATTAGCCTCTGCCAGACACTGTGGAGGCCTTTAATATGTAGATGTACCCCACCCTCACTGCAGGACACTGAGGTTTCTGGGGCCCTGGATACCCACAGCCAGGACACCTCAATTCCCCTGACCTGACAAGCAGTTCTGCTAATCCCTTCAATCCCTTCTTGGGCCTCCCAGGAGAATGGGAAGAGGCGGCCTAGATGAGTAATCCATCAGCATCCCTACAGCTGGAGCCCTACTTGAGGGCAGGCTAGTGGGGAGCCTGGTTCCAATGGGCATTCTCTGTGCCTGGACACCGTAGCTGAGCAGTGACATGTCATCATTAGCAGCCCAGCTTGGTGATGGGCACACAATAGGGCCTATCTGTCCATCCAGCACAGTCCCATAGCTCCACGGCAGACCGCAGGCTGATTCAGCTATCACTCATCAAGACCCTAGGCCAAAGGGAAAGAACATTGCCCCACACCAGCTGAGCAAACAACAGAGACGTCCTGTCTCTCTGGACTCAACACTATATATAAACTTACAAACTTAGTTCCCCGCTCTAAACCAAACCTTTAAGATGGCCAAACCTTCTTTCTCTCTTTTTTAATTTTAATTTTTCTTATTTTTATGTGTGTTGGTGTTTTGCCTACATGTTTGTCTGTGTGAAGGTGTCAGATCCCCTGGAACTGGAGTTACAGACAGTTGTGAGCTGCCATGTGGGTGCTGGGAATTGAACCTGGGTCCTGGAAGAGCAGCCTGTGCTCTGGGCCATCTCTCCAGCCCCTAAACCTTATTTCTTGGCCAAATAAAACTCTTTCTTTTTCTTTCTTTCTGTGCTGCTGGGGATGGCAGGGTCTTGGGCACACTCGGCGACACTCTACCTCTGAACCCCACACTTGGACCTTGACAGTTACAAATATTAACAGCAAACAGAACAGAACCCCGGGAGAAATTCCTGACCAGGCTTACCCTTAACTAAGTCCTGGCCGTGCTCTCTTGAACCCACCCCCAAAGCTATGAGCTTTCATCTGAACCCAATTAATTCTGAGCAGCCTCGGGGGGCTTCAGACAGGTGCAGAGATATAGACACCTGGGCCATTTGTGTGTTTGGAGGGGAGGAGCCAGAGTTCTCTTTTCTTTTTCTTTTTTTTTTGAGACAGGGTCTCTCTGTGTAGCTCTGGCTGTCCTGGAACTCATTATGTAGACCAGGCTGACCTCGAACTCATAGAGATCCGCCTGCCTTTGCCTCCTGAGTGCTGGGATTAAAGGCGTGCGCCACCACTCCTGACCCCACAGTTGTCATCAAGCTCCCAAGGACAATGCAGCGCACCCCTGGCCTGCCCCTAATCTGGTCTGCTCAAACTCCCACACCCCAGCCCTGGGGACTGGGTCTGCTCCACTCTAGGCTGCCCAGTGCTTCTGCCCTCTGACCCTGAGACCACTCACCCACAGGGCTGGTGGTGCAGTGCCCACCTCCACCCCATGTCCTCTGGGCCTACAGCTCTGGTCTCAACCTGCTCTCTGCAATCTCTGGCAACCCCTGAACTTCTGCCCGTGGGGCTGCCCAGTAGGGGTTCGGGGCCTCTGGCTTCAGGCTTCGCCCTCCTTGGTGCTCAAGGAGTCATGCTTACTGTCTGCTCAATCTCCGCAGCCTCCTCCCGGGGCATGCGGTCCAGGAAGTCGTCATAGTGCTTCAAACCAATGGCCTGCTGAGCAGTCAGGGAGCTCAGGCTGCGGATGTCGTCTAGGTTCCGGAAACCCTGGAAAGAAACAGCCAGAGAGGGGGCTATGAGCACCCGGGACCGATGCAGTGGATGGCCCAGAAGGCACTGGTGGATCTGTCACAGCCACCGCCATGGAAGACATAAGGCAAGACTGACCAAGTCCAGCCTCTCTTCAGTAAGACACACCATAATCTGGGGACGCTGCTCCCTGATTCCTCGGTCTAAAACGGGTCTGGGCTTCACTCTCACCAGCTCCCAAGATCATTCTTGGCATGGCCAGGTTTGGGAGCCACTCTTTTAGACATGGAGCCCAAAGCCTGAGCTCCTTAGAAAGTCCCTTGCCAGAGCCAGGTGGATCTCTATGAGTTCAAGGCCAGCCTGGTCTACATAGCAAGTTCTAGGCTAGCCAGGGCCACATAGTGAGATACTTCCTCAAAAAATAAAAATAAAAAACAGGAAGTTCCTTGATGGTCTGTGGGACAGAGTAATGTATTTATTGTTCTTGTCCACACTTAAAGGACACTAAGCCACACAACTGTTCTGGGGACACGGGAGGGACCCATGTGAACTCTGGTGTCCTTGAAAAGCAGTCCCTTGTAGTTAGAGTCATTCCCATGAGAACACAGGGTGGGACGCACAAGGACCCTTCTCCCGCAGGAGAGGAGGAAGGGATGCACAAGGACCCTTCTCCCGCAGGAGAGGAGGAAGGGATGTGGTCAGAGGCTCTGTCCCACAGCAACACTGAAGTGGCAGGTGGGCAGGGTGTGACCTGATGGTACCACATCTGGGCAGTCTTGGTCCCAGCTCCCCAGATGTTGGAGAAGAGCTCCAAGACAGGCACACTGTCACTGATGTGGTCGAGCTTCCGCAGATGCCCGCTCTCCAGGATCTCCAGGATCTTCTCAGCCATCCGCTTGCCAATCCCTGGGATGCTGCAGGCCTCCTAGGAAAGAAGTAGTACAGAGGAGTAAGAAGCTAGGAAGGGAGAGCCAGCGGAAGGGAATCTGACGCCTTCAGCAGAAGATCTGCCCAGAGGCCAGCTCAGAAACCACACGGAACTTGTCCTTTGCTTCCCAGAGACCAGCAATAAAAGTAGAGAGACGGGCCAGGTGAAGTGGTGCATGCCTTCAATCCCAGAACTCCTGGAGGCAGAGGTGCATGCAGGCAGATCTTCCAGTTCCAGACCAGTCAGGGTGCCATACAGAGACTCTATCTCCAAAAGAAAAGAACAAACCAAACAACAACAAAAAGGTGAGAGAAGACAGGACTCATCACCATCACCACGGACACCACCATCATCAGGACTATGAACCACACTGACTGAGGATTACTGTACCACACT